AAAAAAAAAAAAAAAAAAAAAAAAAAAAAAAAAAAAAAAAAAAAAAAAAAAACTCAGCCACTCACTTCAGTTCCTCATCGTTGTTCCGGGAGATTAAAAAAACGCGAAAAAAACAAGAAGAGAAAAATAAATAAATAAATACCTAAGTAAAGAGAAGCAGACAGGAACGTGTCGCAATGGATCGTCAGTCAAAAAAGCAGTCGTTTGATTAAAAACGCGGGTATAGCTATGCTGCGACGAACGTATATACTCCGAAGGTGGTCATCGTGATGGGGGCTGGTGGCGGCGGTGGCGGCGAGTGTGAGGCGAGGAAAAGGCGCGCAGCAAACCACAGGAGCGCTGCGCAACACTTGCGTAATAACCCACTCTAAAGCTGACGCATTACCGTCGACTTCTTCTTCGTCTTCTTATTCTTCCTGCTCATGTTTTTCTGTGTCTTTTGTTTCTATATGTCTCTTCGGGGCTCACCCAGCACTGTCGTTTTCTTTAATTTTGCCCCTTCTCGTTTTTTCCCCCTCCTCTTATTTTGGAAACCATAGATGGCATGACCACTCTGGTTCCCTTTTTCAGATATTGTCATTGGTGGGCGGAAAAGAAAAACAACTGAGAGGATGAATGGAGTTTTCTCATACTGTATTTATTAGTCGGAAAGACGAGAGAACTGTGATTATATCAGACGTGTATCTGGATTTTCCCGGTTTTGCTTCAAAAATTAAAAAAAAGCTCTTCGAATATTAGACAATATTCAATCCCATTCAATTATTTTGGTATCAGAAGTGCCTAGCTGTTGATTCTACTCATCATGATTTATTTACCAGCTGCTTCGTCTTCGTATAGAAAACGTTTCCGGTGACTAAAAATGGTCGTAAATATCCGGGTTTTGAAATTTATAAAAAAATTATTTAGAAGACTGAGTTTATTAGAAAGAATCACGTACTTAATTGACGTTCGATTCTTAAACCCGCATCGATCACCTCACTGTATTTTGAAGTTGTTTTCCGAAAAGTAAATCTCACTGCTGGTAAAAAAAAAAAATAATCAATTTTCTGAGTTCTTCTTGAGGAATAATTTTCGGAAACGGAAGCGTAACTATTACACATTATACTGTAATCCGTCACGTCTCTTTATTCGAAAGTATAGAAAGATTAACATTTTATTTTGTTTTTGTCTGAAGTCAAACTCAAATCATCTGCGGGCTAAAGATGTCCGTTTCATTATTAGTTATACCAAAATTTCGATTCATAGACCATATAAATGCATTTAATTTATTCTTGGAGCTATTATGTCTATGTCTAATCGACGAATTATGAACACAACTTTATGCCATGATCAAATCTTCTGAAACTGAGAGATCTTTAAGGTGTGAAACGACGATGAAGTTAGACTCATAATATTCGCGTATCAAAAGTTGGTTAGCGAAGAAATTAGGAGACCTAGTGATTTCAGATTCGCAGAGCCTCAATTTGATAGCTCTTCATCGAAAGTTTGAATTGTTTGTACTTTATTGTAGGTATTTCAAAATCCTTCAAGTCAAGTCTTGAAACATGAGCTCAACGAATCATCTCACACACGGCGAAGTCTG